GTGCCAGGCCCCTCATCTCCTGATGGGGATAGAGGCTGGATGGAGGACAGGTGATCCAGGACAAGTTCCCCCTGTGTCTTCTCCCCTGGTGCTCAGGCAGAGAAGAGCAGGGAGGCTGTGTGATTAAGAATCCACCTGAGAGCTCCTGAGAAGAACCTCTCCTCGCCCCCACCCAGCCCCATCTGATTTGTGGTCAGGCAGGGGCCCAACCTGGATGAGAGACGCCCCCCCCTTGGAGCCTGCAGGATTCTTCCCCTCCCAACCTTCCCAGGCACCCCCCAGCTCTCTCCCACTGGCTGGCTTCTCCGTTTCTTCCCAGGCAAATGCCTCAGGAGGCGGTTGCACAGACCTACTTTGCCTTCTCTCTGACTTGGTGCTGTGAGTGGGAAGTGGATTTTGGTAACAGCCTTCCTTTCCCTTAACTCAGGCCCAGCTTCTCTCCATCCCTGCTGTGATGCGTTGACTCTTTGGGTCTCTCCCTGTCCTGGACTTGCTCTAGCAGATGGCTCCGTCAACGTGGCCCGCAAGCAGGCCTGGAGAAGCCTGGCTGAGGGTCAGCCGTTTGGCATACGGAGCTGGCAGGCTGACTCCCTTCTCTCCTGCTGTTTGCCTTGAGGTGATGCTGTGTGACTCCATTCTGAAACTTACTATTCAGTTATGTGGCAGCATAGGGACGAGGCTAAAAAGACACTGATGAAACAGCCTGGGTCTTCAGTCCTCTCCTGTGTACATTGGTCTGTGAGCTTCTTCAGGAAGTTAGAGGATGGGGAAAAAAAAAAAACAGCCAACCCCAGGTCTGGGCCTTCCTGCTGGGCTTTGTTGTTGGCCGGACCCTGACTGCCTGGACATGTCCTAGAGATAGCCCAGAGCCATGTGCTGTGGGCGTCATGGGACCTCAGAGCAGGGATGGCTAGGAGGGCTTCCAGGAGGTGGCTTGAGCACAAGTCTCAGAGAGTTCCTGGAGACTGTGGGGAGCACAGGCATGGCATTCTAGCACTGGAGCAATGCAGTTACTTGGGGGGACTGAGGCTGCATTGGAGACGGCTTGTAAGAAAGCCTTGTATTTGGGGACATCTGGGTGGCGCAGTTGGTTAAGCATCTGACTCTTGGTTTCAGCTGAGGTTGTGATCTCGGGTTTGTGGGATGGAGCCCTGTGTTGGACTCTGTGCTCAGTGTGGAGTCTGCTTTGAATACTCTCTCCCTCTGCCCCTCCTGCTCATTCTCTCTCTCTACAATAATCTTTAAAAAAAAAAAAAAAAAGCCTTTGTATTTGGTGGGCATAGAATCTAATATCCTTCACTGAATATTAATTAATCAATGCATTTATTCATTTCAAACATCATCACAGCTGGGTTCCAGCCAGGCCACACTGAATTCTGCCCTAAATATGGTTGGCCTAAAAAAAGTTGTGGTCTGGGACCAGACTCCAGAGGGTTAGCAGGTAAGGTTTGTGTCAGTGTAGGGGTATGTCAGGATGGCCTGAGGACTAGAAGGCTAGCAGCATTCCTCCCGCAGGGGAGATGTCCTGGCCTCTGTGAGTGAGAGGATGGTCTGCATGTGGAGATCCCATGGTCATGAGCCAAGGCCAGCCCAGTGTGGGCTGAGAGAGGGAAGCAGTTCCCAGGAGCAGCTAGTGGAAGTAATGTCCTGCTGGGTGAAAAGGCTGCTTTTCCTGCAGGTCTGCATTTTTTTTTTTTTTTTTTTTTCAAAGCTGCTGTCCTGCCCCTGCCAGATCTGTAGGCCCCTTCACTGCTTCCAGGGGTGTTCAGAGCCCTCCTCATTTGCCCTCCTGCCCCTATCCACTGCTGAGACTGTGGTTGTTATTGGGGGCCACCCAGGGCAACACTCAAGGCTAAGATGAAGTCCCTCTGCCTTTGCCTTCTGTCTTCTCACAAGCTTCTCTCCTGGAAAGAGTGCTGAGGAAGGAACCAGGGAGATAGGCAGGCGTCTGGGCTGGTCCAGCTGGGTCCAGGGCCCCTGTCTTTGGTTGAGATCACTGACCAGCCATTGATTGCTAAGCACAGAAGCAAAAATGGGGGTGGGAGCAAAGCCTGGGTTAGGGCCGACTGCCATACTTTCTGGGCCTGTTCATCCCTCTGTGAAATTAGACTCAGGACACCCAGGTTCACCTCCCACCTGGCCATGGGGTGCTGGTTGAATCGTGTTCCCTTGCCTCAATTTTTGCAGGTGCACTAGACTTAAACCAATATGTGCTTGGGGTATGGGTGGAAGGTAAGAGAGAGGGGGAGACAGATGTGCACCGGAGAGAGCAGACATCCTGGACAGGAGGGACTCTAATGTGAGAGGCCAAGGGAGGCAGCATGATGGTGGGGGTGGGGGGCGTGTGTGTGTGGGAGTGAGAGTGTCAAATTATCAGGAGCTTGTAGAGATGCATTAGGGTCCCTTTAGGTCTAAAAAGTATTTTATGGTTCCATGGGCAAAACACTGAACTAGCTTGTAAGGGAAATAGGAAGTAAAGCTGAAGCAATGCTCAGTTTCCAAGATCTCATAATGCAGTTACAGAGCAGATACTCCCTGAAGGTCAGGATGGCGGTGCCTTTGGCAGCAGGAAGACCAGATTCTGTCAGGGGTGTGAACTGTTCTAGCAGAGAAAGAGTCAGTAGCACTCAGGAAAGGGGAGAACAGCCTCCCCACCATCTGCTTCTCCACCAATACCCTGGGCCCTCACCCTGCCTCAGGGAAGTTTTGACCACATGTGCCCTTCCATTGGTGGGGGCCGGACCCACTTTGTGCCCCAACTTTTTTTTTACCATACCATTAGACAACTGTAAAAATAAAACCTTTATTGTCACAAAACCTTATTAATACAGGTCCACAAGTCCTTACGTGAAACACTTCAGGCCAGATATATTTAAGAATTTAGAATTCTTTGGGTTTTAGAAAGTGCCAAGGTGCAGATGCTGAACATTACATAACATCTCCAGAGGTTGTCTGGGGTGACACAATATAACCAAACACATCAGTACTTCTGTGGAAAATTGTGAAAAGGCGCAATGGCCCACAGATAGCCTCATTTCACTTCAGGTTGGGTTTTGATGCCAAAATCAGGTTTGGGGTTTTGGATTTCAGAACCGCAGATAAGGGATTGCAGACCTGGACTTACATGCCCATTTCCAGAATGGCACAGTGGCGGTGCAATGGTGAGGTGCCCTGACTGTAGCCAGACTTCCTGGCCTCCCTCCTGGCTGCAGCATGGACCAGCTGTAGGACTTTGGGCTTCCATTTCCTTTCCTGTAGCACAGGATTATTAATTCTCCCGCCCAGGTGTGCCATGAGGATTGAACACCTTAGTACCTGTAAAGTGCTCAGAACCCTGTTTTGTACACATGGATCATGATGGCATTACGAGGAGAGGCAGACAGACATCTAAGACACATTTTCAGTACAATCAGATAGTTTGGAGCTCCCTGCTGAGGCCCTTCAGGCCATCAGGGCAGATCAATCTTTTCTTAGTATCACAAATCTTTCACATCCTTGGGCTTGGGGCCTCCCAGGGCTGCAGACATGAAGGTTTCAGAAGTCCCAGAAGAGGCTCTGTCATACCTTGGGGTCCTCCAGAGAGGTGGAGAGGGCCTTGCCTACAAGGGGCCCAGCCTTGTGTCCTTTATGATGGTGGAGTGGTCCCATTGCTGTGGCTCTGGAGTCCCCTCCCCTTGCACATCAGATGGCCACGAGACTGGAACTGCTTTCTGAATAAACAAAAATGTGTGCTCCCCAGGAGATTCTTGTTCACAAGGGAGATGTGGGGTTTCTACTCCACTGAGAATTCAGAGGTGAGGCTGGACCTTCCCCAGCCATACCCTTAACAAGAATCTTTTTTTTTTTTTTTTTTTTAGATTCTTATTTATTTGACAGAGAGACACAGTGAGAGAGGGAACACAAGCAGGGGTAGTGGGAGAGGGAGAAGCAGGCTTCCCATGGAGCAGGGAGCCCGATGCGGGGCTCGATCCCAGGACCCTGGGATCATGACCTGAGCCGAAGGCAGACGCTTAACGACTGAGCCACCCAGGTGCCCCCCTTAACAAGAATCTTAACAAGCATTTCCACAGGACAAGGTGAAACTCCTCTTTCCCTTATTGTAAAACTTCAAACCATCCAAAAGGACAGGATGGAAAATTCTGACCATATCATTTCCCATCCTTCAGCTCCCCTGCGCTAACGGGCCCCTGGGCAGCCATCCCTCTGAATTTGTCCTCATGCACAGAAAGATACCACCCACACACAGACCCTCACCCCCTCACCCCACACACCTCCTCATATGCCCTCACCCCCACACACCTGCATGTACATCATGGACCCCCTCCCCCTCATGCTCCCAGAACCACACACCCTCACCACCCCCAACACTTTAATCACCTTTACAAAAGAAAATATACATACACACAAGAACACACTTATACAAAGAGGCAGGCATTTGGCCACTTCTTCCAGATGCCAGCAGATGGGGTCAGGATGCTGCCTCCATAACTCCTTGACTGTTAGGCAGAGGTGGGGTCCTGGGTCCCCACCTTCCATTCCCTCTCCCCCTCTAGGGCCTTTCCAAGGTCAGGCCTAGTGGTCTTCCCTGGCTGTGGGATCCGCAGTGTCCTCAGGACAATATATGGCTATGGGGTGGGGATACTTGGGCTTTTCCATAGATGGGGGACAGGGGCTCAAGAGTAGTTGCTCCTCCCCAGGATGGGAGCAGAGCATTTCTCCCTACAGGGCTTGTCCAGCTGTGAGGGCCTTCCACCCCTGTTTTTCTTCCCCGCCTATCTTGAGAGTACTGCTTGATGAAGATCAACACTCCAGCCATTGGCAAGAAAGTGATGGTGAAGATGGTGGAGATAAGCACAGCACTGGTTATCCACGGATGAGACGGTGCTTCTGCAGAAGGCAGAGAAAAGGGGGCACCAGCCTCAGGCCATGGGACTATCTCTGGGTACCTTGGCACCCTCCCCTGCTCCTCCTCATGCTCTCTGCCAAACCCAGCTCCTCACCCCAGGCCACAGTGAGAATATGGTTCAGGCTAGAGTGCTGTACATGGCAAGTGTACCGGTCCTCCATCCTGGCTGGCGCCCGCACCGCCACCCACGTCTGGTAGGTGCCATCTCCACTGGGGCCTGTCGCCACATACTCAGTCTCTAGAACCAGCTCCTCCTCACCCAGCCACCAGCTCAGTGAGATGTCCCGTGGGTAGAAGCCCCGGGCCCAGCATTTCAGTGTGATGCCCCCATCCTGGGCTGTGTGTCCTGTCACTTGCACTGTGGGCGGCTCTGTGGAGAGAGGTCGAGGGAGGAAGGCTGGTGAGAGGCTGCTCTCTGCCCATTTCCTTGTGCTTGATCCTGGGCTCCCCTAGCATCTTCCAGGGTGGAGGATAGGGAGGAGATGGAGACAAGGTCTCTCTCCAGGTAAGGCATTCAACCAATGTTTGAGGAAGGGATGACCCATTGCCAACCATCCCAAAGGGGCACAATCCTGTGACTTCCTGCCCCCAAACTCCAGGGAGGTCCTGGGTGGGACTGTTGGGTCCTATGTTGACAACCCCCTCCTTCCCACAGAAACCCTATGGGTTTGTTTTTTTTTTTTAAGATTTTATTTATTTGACAGAGAGAGACATAGAGAGGGCGGAACACAAGCAGGGGGAGTAGGAGAGGGAGAAGCAGGCTTCCCACTGAGCAGGGAGCCCGATGCGGGGCTCGATCCCAGGACCCTGGGATCATGACCTGAGCCGAAGGCAGACGCTTAATGACTGAGCCACCCAGGTGCCCTGAAACCCTATGGTTTTCTCAGAGACTTCTTTACATACGTCCCCCATGACTTCTTGCACATAGTAGGTGCCTAACAAAAGGTTGAGTGAAGGCAAGAATGATGGTCCTTCCCTCACTTTGGAAGGAGGTGGTCACGAGTGTAGCTCTGGAGTCAGACACCCTGGAATTACAGCCTAGCCTGACTCCTGTCCACAATCTCCCAGTCCCTCAGGGCCTGATGGGGATTCTTTGTTCTTTTCTCTCAGGGTTGTCCCAAATGACATCATCCAGGTGTGACAGTTCATTTTATGTGTCAACTTTACTGGGCCACATGGTGCCTAGCCATTTGGTCAGTCACTATTCTGGGTGAGATTCACTTTTGAATCAGTAGATGCAGTAAAGCAGATTGCTCTCCCCAATGTGAGTGGGCCCCATGCAATCACTTGAGGATCAGAACAGGACAAAAAGTCCCAATCTTAAGAGGGAACTCCTCTGCCTGATCTTTTGCAGCTGGGGCATCAGTCTTTTCCTGTCTATGGACTCAAACTGAAATTTTGGCTCTCCTGGGTCTCCAGCTTGCCAACTGCAGATCTTGGAACTCCCGATCCTCCACAGTCACGTGAGCTAATTCCTTAAATATGTCTCCTTCTCTCTCTCTACACATCCTGTTGGTTCTGTTTCTGTGGAGATTCCTGACTAATCCACCAGGTGATAGGTGTATAATATCCCCTGGTGCTGGATGAGCGTTCAATACTCATTTAAGATACCAGTATGGTGCTTCTGGGAGGCAGGGGCTATTGTGACCATCCCTGTAATACTGACAAGGACACTGAGGCACAGAAAGGGCAAGTGACTTGCCCAAGGTCCACAGCCAGCAAGTCTTGGAGCCAGGATGTGGATCTGGAGGCTAGGCTCCAGTGCCTGAGCTCTGACCCACCACACTCTGCTCTCATAAACACATCTCTTGATGTTATTTGCCCTGCTTTCCCTTCAAGGAATGTCCTCCCCATTGCCTCAGCTGATTCACATCCTGCCACTCAATCACCAGACGTCCATGGTGTGTTGGGTACTCTGACCAGCCCGACCCACTAGCAGCCAGTGAGTCCTCTGCTGCAGCACCCCCAAGCACCCACCTTCCCTAGTGTCCATCCCAGTCCTCGTATTTCCAGCCCTACTGGCTGGTGTCAGAAGTATAGGATGCACCTAGAATCTGAGGAGCATGTTTAGCATGAGGGGTGTGTGGGGGCAGAGGGGCAAAGGGCCTCAGCTTCCCTGGCAGTCCCCAGTAGTCCAGGGACTGGCCTAGTGAGGGATGCTATCCCCTGGGGCCTGAGGTCCATTCCTGAGGGAGAACCACAGGATGTTAAACCCCCAGAGGGCCTTATGAGCCACCTAGTTTAACCTACTCTGGATGAATAAAATGAGGCCAAGAATCAGGGCCTCATTTACCAAGACCACAGTGTGGTCCACCTCACCTGGAATGAGGGCCCGAGGTCGAGGCTTCTGTCCTGCTCTCCATGAGGAAGCCCTTGGCCAGTCGGCCTTCTTTCTGGGGTTCAGTGAGCTTATCTGAGCCAGGGGAACACAGTCTGCCTCCTCACCACCCCTCCCCCCCAGACTCTCGAGCACGGGAGTGTGGGCCCCTCTGTGTGGCCACAGGCTGCACCGTACCTTTCCGGGTGAGGCTCTGGCCTCCCAGCTCCAGGTACCTGCACAGGGAAATGAGGCAGAGGCCTTCCAGGTAGGCCTTGTCATACTCAGCATAGCAGCGCTCTGTCTCACACCAGCTCGGTCCGCACAGCTGCAGGTTTGGCTGACACCCAGCTCAGAGTCTCCAGGTCCAGGGACAGGTGGTCCTGACCATCAAAGCCAAACTGCCAGAGGCTGCTGGTATGGCCGTCTTCCCTGATCTCGCAGCCGAACATCCGCTGAGTGCTGTGCATGCCTGTGCACGTGGGCAAGAAGGCTGCAGTTTGCATGGGCTATGGGGTGGATCCCTGAGAGCTGGAGAGAAGCCCAGCACCCACGGGTGTTTCCGAAGGGTGGGGAGCAGGGTGGCGGCATTTAAAAAAACAAATGCTCCCCGGGTAATTGTCATGAGCAGCCAGGGCTGAGAAGCCTGTTGGGCCTCTGCTCTGGTTGTGGTAGCCCATCACAGTCCACGTCTCCACCTGCTGCACCTTTGTCCAGGCTCTCTGCTTCTGGGTCTCTGTCTCCCAGTACTGGGCATCCATGGTTGCCATCCACGGGGCCTGGGGCTTGGCCCTGTCCACACGACTGTCATAATGGATGAAGGGCTGGTCGTCCACGTAGCCTATAACCAGAAACTGGGGAGGGCCCGGGCCTGGCTCTGACAGGGCCAGGTAGTGGTAGTGGAGAGAGTGTGTCCCTGTGAAGACACGAAATAGTCAGGCTCACATGCACTGCCAGGATTGGCTCCACGGGCTGGTGTGACTGATGGGGACAGCAGTGGAAACCTATCCAGAGTATTTGCCATCAGTAAGAGCAAGAACTGGGGATTTCAGTTAAAAATATAAGGGTATCCAAATAGTTTAAATAAACAATCAATCAATCAGTCAAACATCGAGGCCAAAGTTCATATGCTAAGGCTTGTGGACTTTATTTCTATTTCTAGGAAGTTTTCTACCCCCACTTCTCCCCCCACCCCCACTCAGGGTTTACTTACTTATACTTTACACTCTTCTCTGTAAGTGTGATTATCTGGTTTCCCGTCTCACAATTAAAAAGGTATGATAAAAAAAAAATTGGTTGTTTGGCAGCTTAATTTCTGTGGAATTATTCATTCTCCAGAGATACCTGATAAAGCGGGGCCATCATTCCTAGCTTGAACCATTGCTGCCAAGTTGGTTGCATCTTGACTCCATTCCCTGCTCCCTCCTGTTCCTACACCAGACATTGCTAGTCATCTCTTCTCTTTAAGTCCAAATGCTGCCTCAAGGTTTGTTCTCCACCATCTCTAGAAGCACCAGCTTATCCATTCAACTTGGTGCTGGAGATGAAATCTATTTAGCAGCTCACCCTGACTCCAGCTATGAAAACAAGTGCTGTACCTTTAAAAAACCTACCCCACCTTTCTCAGAGGCTCACCCACAGCTCACTCCTTCATTTTCTTTCTTTTTCTCTTTCTTTCTTCCTTTTTTCCAAGTAGGCTCCAAACTGGAGCCCAATGCTGGGCTTGAACTCATGACTCTGAGATCAAGACCTGAGCTGAGTTCAGGTCTGATGCTTAACTGACTGAGCACCCAGGGGCCCCTCCCTTACTTCATTTTTTTTTAAAAAAGGTTTTGCTCCGGGCCCCTGGGTGGCTCAGTTGGTTAAGTGTCTGCCTTCAGCTCAGGTCATGATTCCAGAGTCCAGGATCGAGCCCCACGTCACGCTACCTGCTCAGCTCCCCGCTGCCTTTCAAGGCCTACATGCTACTCACAACTCCCAGCCCAGGAGCACCCCCACTAATCTTAACTCAGTGGTTTGCAAGGAAACAGAATCCTGAGAGTCTGTCATATCCCCGGAGGCCCACACCAGCCCAGACCTGATGTCAGCCCTTCACTCACCTCCTACATTGATCCCTCTCACCTCACATAAGATTTCACCAGTGCAAGAAGAGGCTCCTCGTCCTTTTCCTAAGGACACAGAGTTGGTGTGATTGGCCCCATTCCACAGAGGGAATCTGATTCTCCCTCTGCCCCTCACCCCGCTTGTGCTCTCATTGTCTCTCAAATAAATAAACAAAATAAAAAAGGTTTTACTCAAATGCTACTTTCTCAGTGAATCCTTCCTTGCCTACTCTATTAAATATTTACACTCCCAGCACTCCCCCTAGTGTTTTCTCTAGAGCATTACCACCACATAGAGAATATGCACCTTACGTTTCTCTCTCTCTCTCTCTCTTTTTTTTTTAATTTTCTTGTTAGAGAGAGAGAGAGCACAAAGCAGGGGGAGCTGCAGGCAGAGGGAGAAGCAGGCTCCCGGCTGAGTAAGGAGCCTGATGCGGGACTTGATCCCAGGACGCTGACGCTGGGATCGTGACCGGAGCCAAAGGCAGATGCTTAACCCACTGAGCCATCCAGGTGTCCCTACCTGTTTCTCTTGTTAACAGTCTGTCTCTCCCCTGTAATGTCAGTTCCCCAAGGGCAGAGATTCCTTCTTTCCCAGCCTAGAACAGCTTCTGGCACACAGTGGATGCTCAACATTTGAATATTCAAATGTGAAAGGAGTCAAGCGCATCTCCACCCTCACAGCTCCGTTTAAGCTCCATTGCAGCCACAGCAAACTGCCCCGGCCCTTTGTACCTGCAGTTCCTTCTGCCCCAGGCTGCTCCCTCTCTTCTCTCAGCCAATGCCCCTCATCCCTCAGGTTGCAGCTCAGGTGTCCCTTCCTCCAAGAAACCCTCCTGCTTCCACCCTGACATCCCTCAGAGCAGTCTCTGCTCCCTGTGAAACTGTGGGCTCCATGGGGTGGGCAATACATTGGACTGTGTCACCACTGTTTCCACAGGTCTTGGGGAGAAAGAACATCATGCTTGGCACACAGTGGATACTGCCGGCATTTATTGAGTTGGACAAAAAACAAGAGCATGAAAGGCAAGGATGATGATCACAGCTGTCATTTTTGGAGAGTGACTGCTCTGTGCCCTGCACCAGTCTAACTGCTTTTCATTCATTATCTCAGTTGATCCTTAGTATAAACCTAAGACGTTGGTGTGACTGGCCCCATTCCACAGATGAAGGAACTGAGAGGCCCAGGGGAGGGCAAGTACAGTACCCAAAGCCATGCACTAGAAAGAGACGAGCCTGGATTGTCTCCCCAGAGCCTGCTTTTTCTAAGCTTAGGAAAAGGATGAGGAGCTCTCTTCTTGCACTGGTGAAATCTTATGTGAGGTGAGAGGGATCAATGTAGGAGGTGAGTGAAGGGCTGACATCAGGCCTGGGCTGGTGTGGGCCTCCGGGGAAATGACAGACTCTCAGGATTCTGTTTCCTTGCAAACCACTGAGTTAAGATTAGTGGGGGTGCTCCTGGGCTGGGAGTTGTGAGTAGGCATGTAGGCCTTGAAAGGAACAGAGGCTATGGCTTCTGTATGCTAAGGTGACCAACCACCTGCTCCTTGGCTCCGATCTGCAGCAGCTGTCTGTCCTGGATGTGAGGGAGGGCAAAGAGCCTGTGTCCTTGGGTAGTTGCCTCCTGGGTGGTGGGGAAGCCATGCATGTATGTTGTATGTTCTGTCCTGTCTCCTCCTCAGCTAAGGGCGCATGGTGTGGTAGGCTGAATTCTGGGCCCCTAACATATCCCAAACCTATGAATGTTACCTTATATGGTAACAGGGATTTTGTAGATGTGATTAAATTAAGGATCTTGAGATGGGGAGATTATCCTGGATTGTCTAGGCAGGCCCTGAATGTGTCATTATGAAAGGGGACAGAGGGACACTCCATGACTACCAGAGAAGGGGATGGGAAAATGGAACAGAGAAAGAGGCAGGAAGGTGCCACGAGCCAAGGAATGCAGCTCTATAAGCTGGAAAAGGCAAAGAAACGGGTTCTTCCTGAGAGCCTCTGTAGGGAACTGTCCCGCGGCACCTTAGTTTCAGCCCAGAGAAGCCCATTTTGGGCTTCTGACCTCCAGAACTCTAAGAGAATATGTTGTCCTTAAGCTACCAAGTTGTGGTCCCCTTGTTACAGCAGCTATAGAAAACAAATACACATACTATGAGACCAAAGTCTGTTGTGTCTTGTGAGTTCAGTGCGCAATTCAAACCAGGAGCCCTGGATGTCCTGCTATCCTGAAACAGAGAGAAGGATGCACAGTCTGGGAAGAAGGATGTCCTCCGAAAGCTGTGCTTCAATGGCCAGTTACTTCTGGTTAAAAATGAAGGGAAGTCTATCCATGTCTTATTTTGTAAAGTTACAAAATAGTTCTAAAGCACTTAGGTGCTGGGCCCTGTCCCAAGCACTTTACGAAATTTTGGTTCTGTTAACCCTCATAACAATTTTACTGGGCAGGTACTATTGTGCCAATCTATGACCAATGGGGAAACTGAGGCCCAAAGAGGCAAAATCACCTGCCAAGTAGCAGAAAGCAGGGCCAGACCACATACCTGGATTCTCAAGATGTCCCCTGGCCTGCACCTGCCCTTTAGTGAACCCACAAAGGGTGGATACTATATGGCTGGCTGGGGACACATGAGCAGCCCTCTCCCCATGGCATCTCCCCACTCTCTGCCCTCCACAGACACCACCTTGGACATGGTTTCAATGGGCTCAGCGCTGCCCAGCCTTGCCCATATGGCCAGGCGGGGCCCTCCCTGTGGCCCCATTCAGCAAGTACTTTCTGAGCACCTGCTGTTTATCTGGCCCTCTCGGAGACCCTGAGGATGCTGGGAAAGCAGAAGAACTACAAGTGCCTGCTTTTAGGCAGCTTCCATGAATGTAGGATAAGCAAGATAAATGAATAAAATATATGACAGGCTGGCCAGCAATAAATTCTGAGGGGGAAAAAAAATAAAGGAGAGACATACAAAGTATTAGGGGTGGGGTTTAAAATTTTAGGTAGAATGGACGGGGAAGCCCCCCTCCCCAAGGAAACTCCTGAATAAAGACCTAAAGGAGCCAGCCGTGTAAAGGTCTAGGAGAAAGCATTCCGGGTCTGCAGAAGGGAAAGCCAGTGGAAAGGTCCTGGGGCAGTAGTATTCTTCTGGTGTTCTGAGGCTTTTGCAGTAACATGGGAGAAAAATAAAGTGGTGGTGTGACTCAGTAGCTGTAGGTGATAGCAGTAGGGGTGAAAGAAGGAGTTGAATCCCAAATCCTTCCTAGGCTTGTCCAGATGGTGCCTGGAATGGCCTGGATACAGCCTCTGGCCTACCCCTCCCTGCCATGGGGGCTCTGGTTTCTGGCATCGGCTCTGCCTTGGACTTTTTCACCCATGGTCTACACCTTGGCATCTGATGCCCATCCTGGGACTTGGA